CCCCAAAACCCCAAAACCCCAAAACCCCAGAAAGACAATTTATCTAATAATAGAATAAACTGAGGAAAATGGTATAAATTTGAATAAATTGCCGAATTTAAATAATTTAAAATGATTCAAATCAGAAAACGTCTAGTCCTGTTTATAGTTCTTTTGGAGCTATTTCACTATTCAAGCGCTTAGCATGATATGTCAACAATGACAACAACAGTAACAGTATCAGCTGTGACTCCTGTCAATTTAAACAACTAAGGATCTCCAAACTTCACTTTGTCTTACTACACCAAGAATTACTATGGAACTCTTTAATTCCACGTTTCATTGATGCTAGACAATTATACTGTCACTGGCTATACAACAGATAGAGGAGTATGGGCTGCTATTGGATTCTATAATACCAATCCATCAAATAACTATTATGATGGTATTCTTTGCAAGCTTAATTCAATAAACTTCAATAATACAAAGGATTTGGCTACAATGAGTTGTTTCGATGTCTATTTCAATAAGATTACTTATATTCTCACCAATGACACAAATAATAATGTATTAAATGACTTAACAAAAGCTAATACATCTTATAAAACAGTTGGTGCAGCCACAACTGCTATGATTATGTATCATTTCTAAAGAAATTAAATAACAGATGATCCTGGATTTGATTATAATATAACTGATGGCGAGCAATTGCAAATATTCTCTGCCTATGGGTAGTTGAAAGGCGGAGTCATTTAGGAATCATCTACCTACATCTTGAATAACAGATTCAACGCAACTTTAAATCTAATAGAAATGGGCGGATCAGATGCCACAATGCTCAAACAAGGATTTGCTCTAGTTTTTGCTATAGTTTCAGTTGCAACAGTAATTTTAATCTGATTCACTTATGGGATTTCTATTTATAACCTAAGTTTTTTCAGTTAAAATTCTTTAGATAAATGAATTTTAATTAAAATTTGGATAAATTCAAAGTTATCTACTATTCAGGGGTTTTGGGGTTTTGGGGTTTTGGGG